ACACAGAGACTCTTTGCAGAAACTGTGATTGGTAGTGATGTCTGTGTCTTACCCTCTGTTTCATTTTGGCACAGTTTGGCAAAGTATCTCGACATCGGTTGTGGATAGTGGCACTGCATGCTGGAGTAAATGAAGACACGAGGCAAAATAAACAGTGAGGAACATAAAACATGCAGTTAAATCAACACATTCATTAGACACAGATCTTTCACTATAATCACATCAACAACCAAAATAATCTCTTTAGTCACGATTTTCACTGCCAAAAACCTGCAAGCCAGCGGTTTTCAAACGTAACCTGGGAGGCTCCTCTTCTTCATTTATCCAGAACCTATTCAGTGCTTATTTTACCTACATTTTTAAAACAGCAAGAGGGCAAAGGAACCCACTGGTTAAACCAACAATTGTGATGTAAAACACATCAGTCCTCAGTGGGCAAAACAGTGACGCTGTGTAAATGTACGGGTATGGACGGGAATGAAAGTAAGAAACAGCTGACAGAAAGTCGTATGCACTGATGACAACTTGTTTGGCTCACAGTTTAGATTAAAACATACTTCACTTAACAACAGTATTTTTTCACACATGATAAGCTGTGAGCGATAGTTTATTATGGCATATACTGTGCATGAGGGCACACAGCCTGCAGCCAGCCAGTAGCTCTGATCCAAACACTGATACTTGAGAGTGGACTGAGCTGTCATCGTCACACTGTGATAAAAACAAATAGCAAAAACTCCTATTGTTGTATTGTGACAGGTTATTTAATTTGGTGATTGAAGCTGTTCACTGACTGCTCTTTATTTCTTCAGTCATCAAATCATAATAAAGATTCTCCCATCAGCACTACTGTGACTGCTGATGTAGTCAGGATGCGGTCGGCCGCCCCCCCCCGAGCCTGGGTGTGCTGGGCGTTTCTTCCTGTTTTAAAGGGAGTTTTCCTCCCCGCTGTTTTCAAAGTGCTTGCTCATAAAAGGACATGTGATTGTCGGGTTTTCTCTGTTGCTTCTCTGTTTCCTGTGACTAAAGTGAAGACTGACTGAAAATAAGAGTGGAACCAGGTCTCTTCATCTTTGACCATAAATAGTTTTTTTTTTAGTTTAATTTAAGAATTAAATATTAATGTAATGGCCTTAAAATACCCCTCCTGTCTCCCTCCTTTTAAAGTCTAATTCAGTTAATAAAAAGGGACCAAATACTAAAAAACCAAGAGAGAGATGACGCATAACTCAGTGCACATCCTGTGTTTTTAGACATAGAGAGAACTTTGTTCTGAGGTTTGTGTCTCTGGCTTTATCGTCATACTATCGTCATACTACACATCGTCATACTACACTATATAAAGCATAATGATGAGACAGTGGTGGAATAACTAGAGTGTTACTTACTAGGGCAGCAGAGAGCCTCCTTTGCAGTGATGCTCTTGTTGCATGCTGAGCAGAGTGTGGTTCCTGACACTGTCAGAGATGTAAAAAGGTGACCATTGGGCTTGAGCACCACACTCTCCCTTGCAGCTTTCTCTCGCTCCCTCATGCGCTCTCGCTCTTTATTCTGAAAATGAAACAGAATGTAAAAAACTTGTAATACGAAATACTTATTCACACACATTTACTGAGAGACAGT